ACTACCCCGCAGTGGTACGTGCCGGCGTCTGCCCGTGTCAGGTTGTCCAGGGTCACAGTGAACACGCGCTGGGTGTGATTGTCTCGGATGGAGACTCTGCCCCGGGTCACCTCCGCCTCCGACCCATCGGTCTCAACGATGTGAATCCCGTTGGAACAGAACAAACCTCCTTCCAAACCTCCTGTCCGGCACCAGAACTTCTGATAATCCTCATAGCCCGTCCGGTACCCGCACCGCACAGCCACCGACCCGCCCGGGGGGCCGCGCACTGCCCCGGGGCCCGTCACCGCCCAGCAGCCTGCGAGAGACAGAGACAGTGAGACCCGGGGCACCCTTCGCCCTGCCAACAGCAATTAACTGCTCCCACGTTCGAGGGGGGGGGAAGGAGGGAGATGCTTCAGCATTTTGGGGGGGGGGGAGGACGGGGGATCAGAGCCCGCAGTTTCCAGGTTCACCTATCCCAAAACCGGACTTTTTAAATCTGTGCAAAGAGACCAAGCGCAATTGCCCCTCCCCCCGGGGCTGCGTGGGAGCAGGTCAATGGGGCAGGGGGGCGGGCATGGGCAGGGGGTTGGCTGGGCTGCTCTCAGCAGGTTAATAAATAACTATAAAAGGGGGTCAACATTAGGCTTGATCCTTATTTAAACGCAGGCCCCTTTGCACCACTCCGGCAGCGCACAGAGGCTTGGAATGAATGCAGGTGTCAATTGTATTTTCGACGAATATATTTGCCAGTAGGAAGATTTGCTGATTCAAAACAGTATTTGGATTTTCCGTGTGGGAAAATTGAACATTGACACTACGAGTTCAATTTCAAACCTACTTTTCAAAATGAAATTTTCTTTTTTCATTTTCACCTAACATGTCATTTTGTTTTGGTTTTCCATTTCAGCTTCATATTCTGGGGGTTCCTCCCCCCTCCCCCCCCTCCCCATGCTCCACTGTGATGCTCCAAGGTGCACCATGCTGGGATATCTCAGCAATAGAAACCTGACTAGTTTAGCACTTTCTAACATACAGTTTGGGAGGTGTTGGTTAAGTAGAGTGAGCTAGCTTGATCTAACATAATATCTATCAATGCTAGTCCAGCCAAGGGGTCAGAGAAGTGCCACCCCTCTACCTTGCAAATATTTACTCATGTGCTTCCTTTAAGTCCAGGAGAACTCCTGTTGGTTTCATTGGCACCCATGCTTAGAGTACATCAGTGGGATTAATCATGTTCTTAACATTAAGCATGTGGAAGTGTTTCTAGGATTAGGCCCTACATTGGTATTGTTTAGTTCTCTTTTGTTACAGTTATTTATTTATTTATTTATTTATTAAAAGCAGCCTTTGAAAGTTGCTTGAAAGATACTTTGACGGTAAGGGCCATATTAGCAACTAGGTAGACAAAACACAGCTAGAAAACGAATTGCATCAAATACTTGATGGTGTCCCTTATATCCAGGTTTCAGTAGGGCTTACCTTATCCCATCCTATTTTCCCATGCTCATCACCAGAGCTGTTCAGATAATTTGTTGTGAATAATATTTGTCACAAATTCTGGCAATCTTTTCATCAAGTA